ACTCTTGGACGAGCAGCGTCTCGAGGCTGTTGCACGCGGCCGGGTAGCTGGTCTTGGAGTCGACGACCACGTCGGCGGCCATCTGCGGGTCGGCCGACTGCTCGAGGAACATGGAGCACAGGCCGTCCGCGTGGCCGAGGACCGGGATCTTGGTGGCCGACTTGATGTACCGGACCAGCTCGTTGGAGCCCCGGGGGATGACGAGGTCGATGTACTGGTCCTGGTCCAGCAGCTGCGGTATCACGTCCCTCGTGGTGACGAGCTGGATGGCGCCGTTGGGAACCTTGGTCTTGTCTAGGACCGCGGAGATGACCGTAGAGATGGCGATAAAAGATTCCGTCGACTCCTTGCCGCCTTTCAGGATGGCGGAGTTGCCCGATTTGACGGCCAGCGAGGCGATGTTGGCGATGACCTCGGGCCGAGCCTCGAATATGATCAAGAGAACGCCGATGGGACAAGTGACTCTTGTCAGCTCCAAGCCCTCATCGAGTTTGGTCCTTAACGTAATCTTGCCAACTTTAGCATCATTAGTTTGAACACGTGCATCTACATGGGATACCCCTTAACGGATGACTCACCGGGATCCTCGAGGTCTCGGACGTCCAGTATGCCCTTCAGCATGTCCTCCCATTTCCCCTTCTTCCCGAGGTCCAGGCGGGAAACCAAACTTTGGCTCAGTTGGCCGTGCTCGGCGGCGAGGCGTGCGACTTCGAGATCGCGCGCGTTGGCGGCGAGGATCTCGTCCTTAGCAGCTGTCAGGCCGGCGTGGATGGCCGTCAGGGCCTCGTTCCTGGCCGACTCGGACAGGGTTGCAAGGACGTGCGATGCTTCCTTTGCGGCCCTCGCAGCCTCCGAGGGAGAGGCGTTGGTTAGCGACATGGTTGGCAGCGGGTGATGCGAAGCAAAATGCGCATGCGGTCCTGCCTATATCGGACGAGCAAAGGCGTTGAGAAAGTGATGTGAGTGGCTAATAGCGGTAGGCAGTGTCGTACCGAGGTAGAATTCCGATGTGGGCTGTGGCCAAGGCCGCTATGCAAGCTTGCAAGCCACAAGCCACAGCGCTCTTATGGGTCTTGACCGCCAAAAGTCGGTGTCTGTCAAGCCCGTCAGAAATTCAACGCCAAACAACATTGACATCAAGATGAAAATTTTATTACAACTGTCACGATGTTGAAGTATCGTATACATATACCATTTGGCATAACATCACTCACGCCGTTATTTGCTTGAATTTCCTGTTTGGCTGATATGTTTGTCAATTGACGATGAGGCGTGACGGAGTTATTTATTATGAGCTGCGAAGACTAGCGGAAGTCGTCTTCCGCAAGTCGCGAGGTTGGCAAGCCACCATGCCGCCTGGATGAGAACTGTGGAAGCATCAGTTAGACCACCGGCAACATGTCCTCGAGTAAGGAGTTGTTCCGCGTCACTGGCCGCATCGCTGTGTGCCATCTCACCGATGACTGGTCAGCAATACAGATAACCACGTCTCAGCAGTTGAGCGGTCCGTCTCAGTCGCACGACCGGGTCTCATAGAAATGCGGCTACATTGAACAAGTAGGATACGAACTTGGTCAAGAACGGCTACAAGGGTATGATAGGTACCTAAGGTAGGAGGTAGGTATGGCAGTCCAGGTGAGACGTGATAATAAGTATTATCTTGACCCATCTCGACTTCTGACCTCTTTCAACGTCTATATATTCCAAGGGCATGGATAATTGGTCGTATCCGACAATACTACCATGCTTGGTTTGGTGTCCCGAAGAACACGGTCCTACTGCAACCTTGTTCGCTATCGCGGCGAGGGTTCGCTTCGACTACTGGCTAAGGACTTCACTGGCGTATAATGGATCGGAAGTACTAGCCGAATGGAATCATTGACCCTTGGACCCTTCGCTCACGATCTCGGGCTTCTCGGCATTTGCCCTCGGGTGTAATTCCCGTTCCTATTATTCCGTACAGTATACGGTCAATTCTCCACACGAGCACCAGCTCAACCCGTCTGCCCGTCCTCCTTGAGACACAAGCTTATTACTGTATTCTCCATTGTGGGCCATATCCAAACGGCTAGCGGCTAGCGGCTACCCTCGTCTTTGATGTCACAATCTCGGCTTGGTATTTTTCTACTTTCCCAACCTCCACTTTCTCTTGACAAACGATTGTGTTTGCCTTGGCATCTTCCATATCCGTACAATCCTTGGTTTTGAGGTGCGGTTATAATAGATGGTCTTTGGCCAGCTACGAAGCCGCATTTCTAAACAACTTTGCGAGGCTTCACTTCCCCGATATCGGTTATCAGGTCATCTTTTCGTGTACGCTCGCCGCCAAGGCTTACCGCTCGGGAGAGCGTAGTTCGGGTATGGGTGTTGACCTGGAAAAGATAGACGAAAAGTCGGAGGACTTGGAAATACATGGAGGAGTGCCAGAAGACGAGGCATCTATTGCCACTTCGAACCATGATAAGGAAGACCTGTCCATACAAGCTGTTCCTGACCAGATCCTCACCCCGAATGGCATCCCGGTAGACGAGGAGGCGGCCACTGCCACACCAGCGGCACGAGTTAGGTCGCAAGCATCATCTACTCGGTCCCGGCCTCTTTCTATAGTGCCGAGGTTAAAACGGCGAGGTCTCCTGGCGCAGTTGACGCTTGTCCCTGAGGTCGACAGGCCGTACGACTATCCGAACAAAGTCAAGTGGGCAATCACGGCGTTCGTAGCATTGGCAGCATGTGCGGCGCCGATGGGTTCCGCCATCTTCTACCGTAAGCAGATATTCATCTTCCATTATCCTTTATGCCATGGAACACTAGAGAACTTACGTAATGCGTATTAGCTGCCCTTCCGGGCATGTCTAAGGATCTTGGCGCGTCGCCGACGGTAGTGAATTTGACGGTAGCCCTGTACATGCTGGCGATGTCCATCTTCCCGCTCTGGTGGTCTTCGTTCTCGGAGGTCCTGGGCCGTCGTAACATCTATCTCTCGTCGTTCTTGCTGAACGTCGTTTTCACCCTGCTGAGCGGTCTGAGTGTCAATATCGGCATGCTGATCGTCTTCCGGATCTTGGCCGGCGGAGCTGCCGCGTCGGTCCAAGCCGTCGGCGCCGGAACCATCGCCGACATATGGGAGCCCCGGGAGCGTGGCCGGGCAATGGGCTATTTCTACCTGGGGCCGTTGATGGGGCCACTGCTGGCTCCTATTATCGGCGGCGCCCTGGCTGAAGGATTCGGCTGGAGGAGTACCATGTGGTTCCTCACCGCGTACGGCGCCGTCATCTTCGTTCTCGTCCTTTTCTGCATACCAGAGACTCTAGCCAAGCGCAAGCCGGCACCCGCCGTCGCGCAGACCTCGCCCGAAGGCCTGTCGCGCGTCTCCACCACGCGCTCCGTCAAACAGGCCGCCACGTCGTTGAAGAGATGGTTGGTCGACCCGCTCGAGATCATCATGTACCTGCGCTTCCCCGCGGTCGCCATCACCGTCTACTACGCCGCCGTCACCTTCGGGTCGCTGTACGTGTTGAACATCGTGATCCAGTCGGCGTTCTCGCTCCCGCCCTACGGCTACTCGGCCATCATCATCGGGCTGCTCTACCTGCCGGGCTCGCTGGGCTACTTTGCCGCGTCGGTACTGGGTGGTCGTTGGATCGACCGCATCATGGTGCGCGCGGCCGAGAAGGCCCAGCGGTACGACGCCCGCGGCAAGCTCGTCTACCTGCCCGAGGACCGCATGCGCGAGAACGCGTGGATCTCGGCGACGCTGTATCCTGGGGCACTGATATGGTCAGGGTGGACGACGTACTACGGCGTGCACTGGGCGGCGCCGGCCGTGGCGAATTTCTTCTTCGGGCTCGGTAGCATGCTGGTGTTCAGCGCCGCCACGACGATGCTGACTGAGTTTATGCCGCGCCGCAGTAGTAACGGTGTCGCGCTCAACAACTTTGTCCGCAATATTTTTAGCTGTACCGGCGGTATCGTGACTCAGCCCCTCATCGACGCGATGGGCGTCGGCTGGCTGCTCACCATGCTCGGCCTCATCGCCTGGCTGAGTGGCAATGTCTGCATCTATCTCCTGAGGAAGAACAGCCGCAAGTGGAGGGAACAGATGGACAAGGAATTGAATCAGTGATGCCTCCTTGATTAGAGGAGCGCTGTTGGATATTTAATGCAGTGCATGATAGGGGGATAAGATACCCGCATAACGACGTAATGAGACGATGTCATTTGGATTTGGGGTTTTGGTCATCTAGTCTTTGTTTGCATAGTAAACATGCATGTATCTTCAGGTAGTCTCCGTCAAATTTTGTATCTAGGAGTCTTGGAGGCACCAATACCAATGTACAGATAGCCACCAGAGTGTGCCCAAAAGTCAAAAAAGGGTTGGTCATATACCCATCTACTCCGACCCTTCGCCAGCACCGCCCTCGGCAAACAGCTTCCCCAGCGCATCCAAACTCACATTGCCCCCGCTAAACACGATGCCGACGTCCCAGCCGTCCTCGCCGGCCTCGCGCTCGACCATGGCGCGGAAGTCCTCGTCGTAGAGCGCGACGGCGAGCGGCACGGCGGCGCTGGGCTCGATAACCACTTTCAGCCGCTCGTAGGCCAGCCTCATGGCGCGCACGATGTCGGCGTCGGCGACGCTGTAGAAGCCCGCGACGAGGCGCCGCTCGTAGATGACGGACCACGGGACGCGCCCCACGGGCGTGCGCAGCCCGTCCGCCACCGTCAGCGTCGACACGGCTTCCACGCGCACCCCCGACTCGTACCCCCGCTTCGCGTCGTCCGCGCCTTGGTACGAGGGCTCCGCGCCGAAGACCCGGATCCCCGTGCCTTCGCAGGAGAGAGCTACGCCGGAGAGCACTGCGTGGAGGGTTAGTGGAGGGGTGTTTTTTTTTTTTTCAGTTTTGTTTTTGTTTGAAGAAGAGGGGGGGGGGGGGTTATTTGTATAATGATATACAGTTGGAATGCGGCAGCTCGGATGTGACCAGCCAGAAAAAAAAAATCTGCCCACCCTGGAATCGAACCAGGGATCTTCTGATTTGTCTGCTTCCGCGATGGGCCACGTTAACAGTCAGACGCCTTGACGACTAGGCCAATGGGCACTGGTGTTCGCTCATGTTGTCGGGCAAGGGTTAACCTTCCCAAACACCTCACGCTGGGGGGTAGAATAGACGACTGCTACGTTGGCTTATACGTAACACTCCGAGACAAAGAGTGAGCTTCTAAGCACGCTTTGGACACGAGCCCAACCAGCGTCGAGATGGCTTGTGCCAAAGAAAACCCGAAACTGAGAGGGGCGGATTGGATAAACTAAATCCCAAAAATTAGAAAAGCCACTTACTGCCGCCGCCGCCGCAAGGCGCAATGATCGCATCGAGGCCCTTCTTCCTCCCCGTCCTGTCCCCGCCCTCCTCGGCCATCATGGCCTCGACCTGCTCCTGGAACTCGAGGCCGAGGGTCCCCTGGCCGAGCACGATGTCGGGGTGGTCGTAGGGCGGCACGAGACGAGCGCCGGTGTCCGCGACGACCTTGGCGGTGACGGCCTCGCGCTCGACGCTCGTGCTGCCGCTGAACACCACCGTGGCCCCGTACCCCTTGGTCGCCGCGATCTTGGGCGGCGCCGAGATCGTCGGCATCACGATGTACGCCGGGATGCCGTTGACGCGCGCCGCGAGCGAGAGCGCCTGCGCGTGGTTCCCTTTTGAAACTCGTCAGTGTTTCTTGCTACTCCTGCTTCGTTATAGAGCCTGCTCTATGGCACAAGATCACAGCATGAATCCAACCCCTGAAGTAACCGGTCTTGTGACACATTCCATAAGGGGATCATCGTAACTAGCCCCTGATCTGGCCTCCAGTAATAGCCTCGTCCTCTTCATCCTCGAGTGCCGCAAGGAAGGCCAGACAGATTGAGTCCTCAGTCAACATATACCGTGGACGGCATCATCCAATCCTCCCGCCAACCTCTTCACCTCCACACAACAAGCCCGCCCCTAAGCGTACTCCGAAGCAACATCCCCTAGACAAAACACACAACGACGAATAACCACAACACCCCCTCCTCCCCCCCAAAACACCGAAAAAACACAATCAGAAGCAAAAACAAAAAGAACCAACCAGAGCTATGCGTAACAACGCCCCTCTCGGCGCCGCCCCCGGCGAGCCACCCGGGCTCCCGCTTGAGGCGCTCGATGGCGTGGAAGGCGCCGCGGGCCTTGAACGCACCGACCTTCTGGTAGTTCTCGCACTTGAACCAGAGCCGGAGCTTCGCCTTCGCCTTGCCCTTGTCTCCGGGTGCAGACGTAGACGCAGACGCCATCGCCGACAGCGACGAGCTCGTCATCACCGGCGTGCGGTGCACGAACGGCCTGATGAGCTCGCGCGCCTCCGCTACCGAGGCCCGCGTCAGCGGTGGCGACGTGGACGGGTCCGCCATTGCTGGGTCTGGCGGCTGTTAGGAGGATCCGGGATGGGAGGAGATAGGGAGGGATGGCAAATGGATAGTGGCCGCGGCGAAGCGCAGTGGCTGAGTGAGGTGAGGGTGGGTGAAAGAAAGAGAGCGAGTGAAAGACTAAACGAACGATACAAACGAGGAATCGAATATGATTGGTCAAATTCAAACCCTCCTCTATACACCTCCAAGCCTAAATGATTAAGCTGGAAAAATATGACAAGCAACAGTATACTACGCTCCGTGGACGGTTGAGTCTAGACTCGAGGCTACCCAAGATAGAGCCAGTAAAAAAATCTACGATTCGTTATCGATGACCGATAACGGAGAGGAGAAAACAAATCAAAGCGAGCAAACTGGCTCCAACGACAAGGCTTCGTGGTTCAGAGAAATTTCATTTAGGCTCACTTTTGGACCATTATCCCTTAAAATCCTCGAGAGAAACGACTGGGGGAATCCCGAATACAAGTACAAAAGCTCTTCCTGTCGCCGCCCGGGATATGCCTTCGCCTTTTTAGTATGCCGTCCCGATATTTTTATTTTTCTATTTATACGCCCGATGCACTTATTTCTGGTTCTCGGGTCGGAGAGATCTACGAGGCAAGCCAAGTTAGCAAACATAATAGTAGCATATTTGTCAGTCTCGATGTTTCTTACCTTACGGCCTTGCCGGCCCGCCAGATCTCCATGTTGCGGATCTCTTCCATCTCCGCCTCGAACTTCTGTCGGTAATCCTTCTGGCTGTTGTACTCGAGCGATCGCTTCGTCTCGGTACCGTCCCGCACGGAGTCGTACAGGCTGTTGAAGACGGGCTTCAGGGCGTCCTTGAATTTGGGGGTCCAGTCAATGGCACCTCGTCGGGCCGTGGTCGAGCAGGCCTCGTACATCCAGTCCATACCGTTGGCGCCGATCAGGGGGTATAAGCTCTGGGTAGCCTCCTCGACGGTCTCGTTGAAGGCTTCGCTGGGGCTGTGGCCACGTTCTCGGAGAACCTCGTACTGAGCCAGGAACATACCGTGGATACCGCCCATCAAGCAGCCACGCTCACCGTACAGGTCAGAGTACACCTCCTTCTCGAAGGTGGTCTTGTAGAGGTAACCACTGCCGACGGCAACACCGAGGGCCTGGGCCTTCTCCTCGGCCTTGCCGGTAACGTCCTGGAAGACGGCGAAGGAGGAGTTGATACCACGGCCCTCACGGAAGAGGGATCGCACGGTGCGACCGGATCCCTTGGGGGCGACGAGGATAACATCGATGTCCTTGGGAACATCGACCTTGGTGACGTCCTTGAAGACGGGGGAGAAACCGTGAGAGAAGTACAGAGTCTGCCAATTGTTAATTCTTCTGCCTGCTAACAATTATGACTCATACTAGCGTACCTTGCCCTTGGTCAGCTGGGGCTTGATAGCGGGCCACGTCTCGCTCTGGGCAGCATCGCTGAGCAGGTTCATGATGATGGTACCCTTGGAGATGGCCTCGTCAACCTCGAATAGGTTCTTGCCGGGAACCCAGCCGTCCTGTTGAGCATCCTTCCACGATTGGCCGTTCTTTCGGACACCAATGATGACGTTTAGGCCGTTGTCACGGAGGTTAAGACCCTGGCCGTGGCCCTGGGAGCCGTAGCCGATGAGGGCGAGGGTGTCGTTCTTGAAGTAGTCCTGAAGATGGCGTCAGTTGCTTTTTCTCTTGCGACTTGCCTAGAAAGAAAAACTCGGTAGGATAAGGGTAGGTAATACTTACTAGGAGCTTCTCCTTGGGCCAGTCGGCACGCTCTATAGAAGACAGTGTAAGCCAAAGATCATTCATATGCCAACTAATTGAGCTTACCAAAGACCTCCTCGGGGGTTCCAGCGAAGTCAATGGTCTTGACACCACGGACCTGCTGTTGAACAGCACCGGCAAGAGCAGGGCGGGCCTTAGGGGTAGCTCTGACGAGGTTGGACGCGGCGACGAAGGTGCGTCTCTGGACGGTGGGGGAGGCCACACGGCGGGCCAATTGGCTACGTACAGCCTTGGAAAATCCTCTGGAAGCCATCTTGAAGTAAGAGTTGAGTGGAGATGGGATGGGAGAAAAGGTTACGAGGAAATCAATGGGGTATTAATTCTGTGAATACGCCTGGCCCGTTTTTGTAACAGTCAGAAATTTTTTCCTACTTTTCCAGGGTCCCGGGAGCTGTGTTAAAGGAATTGTGCGATTTCGGCGGTGAGTCGCTGTAGACAAGCTAATGGTGGGGAGCGTCGCCGGTCCGGCCAGGTCACGGTGGGACTGGGGTACAGCTGGTATTTCTGTCGTACAGGTACAATGGACGCCTATATTACAGGTATCAGCCCTGCAGAGTTTGGGTGGTATCGATACTAACCGGTTACCTAGCACTTCAGCAGGGAGATAGCAAACCTTAGCACCCAACGTTTTCAACCAGCGGTGACATGCACCAAGGACTTCACTGAACATCAATATAATAACCACGTGCATGGACGCCATCAGTCACGCCACGTGGGAAGTAAGGGGTTCACTCCAACCAGCAGAAGGTATAGGGCAAATCGGGCAAACCGTGCTGAATTTATCAGGTCGGCATCTAACCATTGCAGAGCATTCTTCTATTAGTTATGCCATGCGCCGCGCAACCACCCAGGACAAGACCAGAGTGGCATCTGGCTTCTCTGCATCGTCCTCGCGAGCCAACAGAAGAGACGGGTATTGTAATCTCCTAGGAGTCCTAAAATGGATATGACCCCTTCGATAACGCCTTGCTATGTGCCTCGCAAAGTCCATCTTTGGCTTCGTCTCCCATCTCGTTCCCCTCCCATAAATCGTGCGTACAGAGTCTCGAAATACACCCTACCTCAGGCCTCTAGTATCTCTTCCATAGCTCCTCCTTCGCCTCGGGACTCGAGTGTGTGTGTGCTGGGTGATAGTCCGTGTGTCAATGTAAAGTCTATTAGACTTTACCAGAGACCACGCGGTCGTACGTAACTCCTCGCACAGAGCCACCACCCATAGCAAGTCGTGCGTTTCGTCGGAAGTTCTCTCGGCTCTGGCGCAGATCGTCGGCGGCTTCTTTGTTGAGGGGATCCGAGGCGTTCGGCTCGAGAAATAGAAACTGAAGGCCGACGATGACAGCGTTCAGGTTGAGGACCGGCTTCCAGTCTTCGCGCAGGATGTTGAGGCACACCTTACCCTCGAGGTCGATGTTGGGGTGGTAGATCTTTTGCTGGCAGCGTACCTTGGGCGGCTCGTGGGGATAGTTGGGACCCATGGTGAACGTAAACGTGAACTTGCCTGAGTGGTAAATGCCCTCGTCCGGCGTAATCTCGAGTATGAAGTTCAGGATGTCGTCGGGGTCCTCGAAGACAGTCTTCATCGTCGTGCCTAGGGATAGTTCGGAGAGATCTGCGCCGATTAGAAACTGGGCAAAGCGAAGATATTCTGGGATTCCGAAGCGCAACGTAATCGCCTACCTTTTTGCACCCGTAGTTGGGCGGGTGTGACCTTCTTTTTCTTTCCGCCATCAGCATGTTCCGCTTTTTGTTGTGCTGATTTCTGTACCAGTGCTGTTAGAATAGTTACATAGTAGACTCCTGCTACTATTCCGACTCACCAAAGACCAGATTTTGGTCATGGACGCCATCGTGACTGTTTGGAGGAATATTTGG